TTGTGCAAGTCGTTAATGCAACGAGGATTGACTCAATATATATATATATGTATATATATATATATAGTATATATACATATATATATATATACACATTGGTAGGGTCTTCCTCTCCGTCTGTCAGGGCTCCGGCTCCTCCTCATCTGCTGCTGAGATCGAAGTGTCATCGAGCCAAAGCGATGACAGCTGATGTGCAGAAAACAGTCGCCCAGTTGTGACGGCTCCTTGCATACGCGCGTGTGGGATCCGATTCCCAGCTACAAGCACTCCAGTGTGCCGTGTGACGTCGAACTTAATGCGAAGCGCCAGAGAAGACAAGCCGATGACCGAAAGTGGCTCTGCCGTTTATGGTCCGCGCTACATTTATCGCTGATGTAGCATGTGCGCTGTCGACTGCGGAGTTAGATGTGCCTCGTGGCTGCTACAATATGGTGATGATGTCTTGCGTGAGTTTCCGAACGTGGGAGGATGAAGGTCGTGCGACGTGTTTCTCTGTGCCTGTCTTGCACCTCTAGGGGATCGAAATTCTTGTTTTGCGAGGCCGCTTCTTTCCTCAGCCTGATCCTTGACATAGTTCTTTTTCTTGGAAGTGCTCAGCGTTGGAGTTGTTTCGGATATAGTCGCGTAAATACACGCACACACGTAATTCCGTGCTTGTCGGGTGTACAGCATCTCAAACACAACATGCTGACCAGACAGAGCCTCTACCCGTTTGTGATGGCACTAATTCCACTCCAGGTCTTGTCTGTCCGCCGACATAGCACTTCGGCAATTTTGAATAATTAGTTCCTGTCTGAACAGTTTTGAGATGACCGCATCTGAACAATTTTGAGATGACCCCGCCATGAAGCCGGTGTTTGAGGCGAAGCACATGGCCGCAGCTTTCCAGCATCAAGTGGCATGTTCTTGTGCAGGATAAGACCATATGAAGCGGTGGGGCGCATGGACAGCGTAGCTACCATGCCACCATCATGACCAGAGCGGTTTTGGCAGAGTGGTGTAAACAGGCTGCCCGAACACTACCCATTTAATTTGGGAGTTTCCAAAAATTAGGGTACCTTGTTTTGGGGTCCTTATAATAAGGATCCTACTATTTAGGGTACTATATTAGGGTCCCCTATTTTCAGAAACTCCCATTTCGATCTCGACGGAGCATCGCAAGCACTGCTCTGCATCTGACCGCCTCATGGAGGTTGTGAAGAGTAGAGTGTGACCTCTTCGTTCGGCGAATCCAGGAATTTTGGGTTGTGGACCTAGGTTCACAGTAGCACATACTACCCGGCATGGTTTCCGCCATTCTCGCTCGGCGGCTGGAGGACTGTCAGTGCCCCCCATGTCAAGTGCATATGTTGGGGGACTCTATATGTGCAGCGTTCTAAACTCGCGTGTTGGCGAAAATAAGTCGGCGAACATTGATGCGTTTGGGGGCTTAACACCATGCTGGCGGGTCACTCTTGTTGGTTGTGGCAGCGACATCACGATATGCAAAGTAAGGCACTTGATGTCGAGTATGTATGTACAGGTGTGTATACCGACACTGATGTCAATACCAAGGTCAATGTGTGTACATATATATATATATGTATTTGCATATGCATGCATGCATGCATGCATGTGTGTATGTGTATGTATGTGCATGTATGTGCATGTAT